CATACATTTACAGAAAGATGAAGTTTTCCAAAGATGTCTGTCGATAATTTGAATATAAGACATAAAGAAAATATAGAACCTCATTTTCACAGGACAGCAGCGTTGCACCATAGTGTCTGAAATGAGCTTAATAGAAAAATGTCGCTAATATACAAATTTTAAATGCGGAGTTCTTCGAATGTTAGACGCAATAGCTCGAGGGGGCTTAAAAGAAATTTGATTTAAAGGCTATTTCGGAAAAGTGTAGTGTAATAAAATGGGAAATTCCGTCGAATTCAGCTCAATTCCGTAGTCATAGGCGTAGGTGAATTTGTTACAATAAAATTGTTTTTGCTCTCTTTTGTAAATTCGATCTTTTCTGGTAGATTGCCCACATTATCCCTTTTTGACTGAGATATTAACGACAAAGTACTTAAAACTATTATAGATACCAAATTTACACAATCACTAGTTTCTGAAGTAAATCCTATAGAAGGATTTGTAGGAAGACACTCAAAATGACATTCAAAATTAAAGCTAAACCTTAAGTTACTGTTCGATCAAATCATTGAGGAAGTGACCGTAGAGAAATAGTGATCGATAGGACCGTTAATTATAACTTCAAGAGATGATTATTTCTCTGTATGATTTTTTGTCATTTAATTTCTGTAAAATGCATTTTTTATATAATTTTTAATAAAAAAATAAGTAGTGGTCTACCGGGACGCACAATGTTTGGCGCTGAGGTTTTATGACTGTATGCCTTTCTGAAATGTACTATGAATATAGACAAGTTCTTAGCAAAATTGACAGTATTGCGTCATATCCACAAACATTTTTTCATTTTCAACAAGTCACTTTCGAGGTTAAAGACATATGTATATATATATATATATATATATATATATATATATATATATATATATATATATATATATATATATATATATATATATATATATATACATATACAGTGTGTCCAAGATAAGGATGCACAGCATGGGGATCTCGGAAACTATAAGAGATACAGTGTCGGTTAAATTAGACAAAAGTTGCGCATTTTGATACCGAACAAGATCCCGTTTTACAAATTTGAAAATTCCAAGCCGTTCCGGAAATATCCGAGAAAAACCGAAATATTGCGATTTCGTTTTTATTATTTTTTAAAGCTATTTGAAAAGATATGAAAAAACGGAAAACACTTTTCCATTGGCACTTTTTAATCTCTCCAAATTGACGTTAAGAAATTTTCATTACAGCGTTTCGATTCCATGGAACCACCATCAACTTTGATTTTTCTTATGGGACGGAAAAAAAGTACACACAGTATTAGGTTGTGCTTTTCATTGCGAATTCAACGATGTACGATACAATACGGTTACTTATATTTTTATCCAGAAAAATGGCTTTTTAATACATTTCTAGTATTTTATTGTAGTAGGCCATGAGATCCGAACGATGAAAGGCAAAAGAAAATGGTTGACAAGTTCGAGTTAATGTGTTTATTTATTTACTAACTCTAACTGTTCATTTAACATAACAACTAAATCCAACAAGTTAATGAAAAACAAATTCTATAACGAATGTTCGAATAAATGACCTCCATTTTCTAGGCATAAGTACGCCCGTCTCACGGTAGACTCCAAAACACGACTTAACATTTCAGGAGTAATTTTATTAAACGCTGCTCGTACTGATTGACGTAATTGTTCCTCGTTGTCAAAACATTCTTTGAATACCTCATTTTTTATGTAGCCCCATAAGAAAAAGTCCAAGGGAGTTAAGTCCGGGGACCTTGGAGGCCAAGGTGTTTCACTGTAAGTCCCAATGTATTTTCCATCAAACCGTTCAGTTAAATATTGGCGAACTTCTCTGGAGTTATGGGCTGGGGCACCATCTTGTTGGAACCAGCAGCCTTGCACAGCGCCTAGCGGTAAATCATCTAAGGCATCTTCTAAATCGTGCCTCAAGATGTTAAGGTACCGCTCGGAAGTTAAGGAATTATTATAGAAAATAGGGCCTATAATCTTGCTACCAAAAATCCCACACCAAATATTAAACCCAAAGCGAACTTGATGTCTGGATAGTCTATTAACACGTGGATTTTGTTGCGACCAATAGTGTGTATTGCGCCTGTTATAAATACCGTTATTGGTCACCATACTTTCATCAGACCAAATCACTTTATATGGAAAATTAAAACTCTCATCACACATCCTGGTATACCACTCACAAAAATGTCTACGTCGTTCGTCGTCACCCGGTTTTAATCCTTGACATATTCTGAATTTGTAAGGCTTAAATTCATTTTTCCTTAAAATAAACTGAGCTGTAGATTTAGCTACCCCATTCTGGTCTTCAATTTCTCTGGTAAAAGTTTGTGGATTTTCGATAACAGATTGTAGAACAATGTATTGGTTTTCTTCATTGGAAGGTTTTTGTCGGGATAATGCAGGCTTCTTAAATGATCCATATTCTTTCAGATTAAATAACAAACGCCGAAAAATACTCTTGTCAGGTTGTCTCCGCTCTGGGTATTTGTTAGAATACATACGCTCGGCTTCCACACAATTTCTTTGGCATCAGATGTAGCAAGACAGCATATCACATTTTTCTTCGTTTGTAAAATTACCTCCCTCCATTGTAGAACAAAATAAATTAGAAAAAGACAACAACAATAAAAATACAAAAACAATAACTAAAGGAATAAACTTATGATCGACTGATAACAAAGACAAATAACATTAATGTGTCATTGAAATTGACTGGATGTCATTTTGTCATGGCCTACTCCATTTAAATGCTGAAATGTATTAAAAATCCATTTTTCTGGATAAAAACATAAGTAACCGTATTGTATCGTACATCGTTGAATTCGCAATGAAAAGCACAACCTAATACTGTGTGTACTTTTTTTCCGTCCCATAAGAAAAATCAAAGTTGATGGTGGTTCCATGGAATCGAAACGCTGTAATGAAAATTTGTTAACGTCAATTTGGAGAGATTAAAAAGTGCCAATGGAAAAGTGTTTTCCGTTTTTTCATATCTTTTCAAATAGCTTTAAAAAATAATAAAAACGAAATCGCAATATTTCGGTTTTTCTCGGATATTTCCGGAACGGCTTGGAATTTTCAAATTTGTAAAACGGGATCTTGTTCGGTATCAAAATGCGCAACTTTTGTCTAATTTAACCGACACTGTATCTCTTATAGTTTCCGAGATCCCCATGCTGTGCATCCTTATCTTGGACACACTGTATATATATATATATATAATACTACGAGGGTGGGTTGGAAAGTTTCCGGCCCGAACAAGAAAAACATAATCTCCATTAACACCTATCTAATTGGGTTATACCAGTTTTAAGCATAGATTCGTCAAGCTTCTCAAAATACTGATTTACAGCTTCGATAACTTCTTCGTTCGCTTGGGTGTCTTCCGAGTAGAGAGGTTTCGGTATCGATTCAAACTTCAATTCGTGAATTTTGGACATGGCAACATTCAACGAATGCACTGGTGCGTTATCGTAATGAAACAAAATTTTTTTCTTCGCCAAATGAGGTCATTTAATTTTCACCTCGTGCTTTAAACGTTGCAATAACTCTGCGTAGTATTGGCATGATTTTCAGAAGTGGAGTGATGAACCCAAGTCTCATCAACAGTTATGAATCGTTGCAAAAATTCGTTTGGATTAAGCCTATGAGGCACCAAATTGTCGGTAGAAATGTTTTTTCGAATCATGTTTTGGTCGAACGTTAACAAACGTGGCACCCACCTTGCATACAGCTTTTCCATGCTCAAATGGTTGTGAAAAATATTTCGCACACGTTCATTTTTGAAGTTGCGATCTCAACGGGCGGCCTGAATTTGTTATGGTGTAAAACCCTTGAAATGGAAATATTTGATGAACGCACGTTTTTCCATTTTCACAAAAACAACGGAAGCGTCTCGCGCTATGTGGTCTCAAACGCAAAATAACGTGCAAGCTCGGCAGGAATGGTACTACTATAGGATGCCGTTCCAAAAGTAGACGTAGTGGCGACACCTGTTGGTCAGGGGGAAACTTTTCACCTTTTTTATTTCATTTTTATTTTATAGACAAAAAATTTTTAAATGGAAAACAATGCCATCTCCCTTGATCATGTATCTATAGTCTAATGTCACCAACAACAATTCAAATGATGATTTAAACAGATAAAATAACTACAGCAAACATTATATAAATATATGTAGTAGAGCGTTATCGTTATTCTGCTCACTGCACTGCCCGTATTTTAATTTGCTGCACATGCGCATAGAAATTGTTATTTCTGCAAAAAATATCCCCATTGTTTCGTTAAAAAAATTAAAAAAATATATTTTTATTTTTTTCTCGATAAGGTTAGCAGATGCGTATAAATTACACTGGACTTAAAAATTTCTTAATAAAACCTTAAACTCATTTTGCATTTCAGAATCTAGTAGAAGCGCACCGCACAAAAATTCTGGAGGAAAAAGACGGACAATAACAATAAATCTCTGATTTAGACAAATTTCTTATCTTGATATTACAATTACTCTCAGACAGTCGTCATGGGTGATTTAACAAATAACCAAATATAAAAAATTGTAATATATTACAAACTAAAAAATCTAACTTAACCAAAAGAAAAAAAAAGGAATAAAAGGAAAATAGTAACAATTAAATAACAACAAATATTTCACAAATTAAGCGCAAGGAGTATGCGCACAGATAATTTGATCAGAAACCATTTCACTGAAGGGGTTTGAAATTGCTAGTTAGAAGTCTGGTCACCGTCCGGAGATGAGTGAAATTTGGATTTTGATTTTCTAGACAATCCAGCGGCACATTGCCCTATTTAGTTTCGATCTAAATTACAATTTTTGACTTACGTAGTTTTAGAAATGGGGAACTGAACTTCATTTTGCATTATTTATTACATATATTAGTAAGAAAAATTTTGCACATAAAACCAGAAAGTACTTTAAAGTCAGTATGCTAATAATTCGTATCTTTTTAGACCACATATCGGAAGGTGCGAGTGACAAAATGTCTCTACCTCCAGACGATAGTAGCATTAAGGAAGCCTATATCGAAAACCCGAAACAGCGACCATCTCAACTGGACATACTACCGCCACCCCCTGTAAACAACAACATTAGGAGAGCACCGATTGTAAGTATACGCACATATTCGCAACCGAATATTAATAAGATGAGAAGAACCACTCTCTGCCGGATTTCGAAACATCTCCCGTCTGCCTTTCCGCTCTTTCGCACTTTTCAATGGCACTTTGTGACACTCACTGAAGGAAGTATTCGAAATGTTGCGCGTTTATTTGAATTCAAAATGGAGAACTTATGATGTTGTGAAAAAAATGGATCGAGTAAAAAATCTTTGTCTAAATGTAAAGATTATTTAGAGATAACCGGTGTTTCAAATTCTCACCATTGGAAACTGGGAGATATATACGGTAGCACATAGTATCCATGAGCCTGATAATATGCAAATTCTTTATGCATTTTTTTAAATGTTGTTATTCGTATTAATGAAAAACATACAGGTTATTCCACATTTTACAACCTGTTAATACTTATCTTGTATTTATCAAAAGAAGTTTCAAATATCGTATTTTTAAATGAAATTAAAGGAATTTATATGGAAACTAGACATTGGAGAACCAATGGTGCTAATTGATCGAAGGGATAAGCCTGGTGTGTGTACCTTAAGGAGTCTGTAGAAAAATCAATTGTTATATTCAATTAAAATCCGACAATCCATAGAAATCTCTAAACTACCAAACAATCGCCAGTGTGGAAATGAGTCATCTGAGGCAACGTTCATGTCACTCCTTTAACTTCGCTTCCCTCAAACACCAAGCAAGCAGGTACAGACTAGAAACGAATTCCAGTTAAAATTTGAAGAAGCCAACAGGACGCAGGATGAACGGAATGGAATGGATGAATGGAAGTTTCTTTGAAAACAGATTTTTGTACACGTCTTAGAAACGTAAATGTTTTTTAGGCGCCAAATTCGGTATTTTATTGATTCCCATATTTTCAAATGATTTTTTTGCAAATTTGACTGGCGATAAATATTTTGAATATTTATTGAAACAATCTTATGTATTTTTTTGCTTGGAAATATTGAATGTATCGTTTTTGAAATGTTTGTTAAAATCTTGGGACATAAATGAGGGAAAAGCAGAAACGATCAACTTAAGAACTGAGTACGTAAAAAGAGAGAATATAATATGTGAAAAAATGCCGTGGATGTCAAGAGAAGAATATTATATTTTATAATTTAATTTCTGTATAATATGTATAATATAATATTTATCAGAGATTAAGAGTATAATGTACGCTTGTACATGATGCCTAATTTTTATTCTGTAAAAATAAAACTGGCATTTGACACACCATTTTCGGTTTTGCTAAATGGGTAATAATAAGCAAACCAAACCTATAAACTGACCTGCACTCGATAAAGAGAAGAATTTTGCAATGCATTTCGGTGCCAAACAATGCCAAGTATTCGTTGGGTCAATTTTTGGTCCATTTGCATACCCAACGCTTTCCGAGTTAGCTAATTTACTGCTTCAAGCAATATCGGTGCGGTTGCAAAATGATTTGGATGACTTTTACTCATATTGTCTCCAAAATTTTAGTTAAATGATTGTAGTTTTAATGACACTTTTTTAAAGCTGGTATAAAACGTTAAAGATCTGAAGTAAATATAGGATACAAAAATAATTGTCTCTGATTATATGAATGTGGTAAATGGAATAAAATGCTTGACTTTGTATAGAGAAATACACTTATGATCGTTGCATTCATTAAAAATATTACATGTTTCATGTTTTCATAGTCCATTAACTTTTGCCTCTCTTGTTTGGACACCTAGTACTAATTGGTGAATAGACAAAACAAATTTTTAATATATCTCCAACAACCATGATAAACATACCTGAGCTTCGAAGAAGATTCGTAAAAACGTGTCCCATAGATAAACTAAAAACGAACTAACAAATAATTTCGTCGACTCACCTAATTTACTTTCACGCATATGTTTCAACATTCCCTCCCGGAACTTTGGAAATATTCTGAAATGTATCAAAAGTAAATTCCTGTAGCGGTGATTTGTTTGTCATAAATAGCTTTCAAAAAGAAAATCGAAAAATTAATACTTAAATATAATTAAATATAAGATAAAAGAGGTATTGTGGACTTATCACGAACCAATTGCTACCTATACTGGTAAGATTACTCTGTACACTGACCTTTTTGTTACGTTGAAGAGACCATAACGTTATCCCCAATTTTCTTAAAATGTCCCATCACGTCACAACCTCATCCGCTTATAAAATTATTCGAAAATCTAGTTTCGCTTTACTTCGAGAAAGAATTTATCACACCCGTAAGGAAAGAGACCAAATCGATAAGGCTCTTCTGTGTCTACACCTTGAAATTTCTTCTATTTTGTCCCCATCCGAGTTCGATACCCTTCTTCTTCATTTATCCACTACCCAAAATCACATTCAGAAATTTGAAAAACTAACGTCAACACTACGAAAACCATCAAACTCTTCTCAACTACCAAACACTGTAATAAATGTATCATCGCACCAACTTTCGGAAACGGAAAAATTAGTTCTTTCAAAAGGTTCCAACTTCGTCCTTGCCCCACGTATTATCCTTAAAGAGCAAATCCTTTCAAATGTCGAGTTTATCCAAAACAAACTGCCATCTCAAACAGCTAATGAAATTCGATTTGAACCCGCACCAAATAAAAAGCCTTCCATTACAAGATATTCTAGTTAATTTCGACCTAGAATCTCTTTTTACTAAAGTTCCTATTCCTGAAACTCTCGACATCATTTCAGATATATTAAAGTCCGAGAATCTGGAACGAAACCTTCTCACTTTAATTGAAAAATGCTAGGTGAGAACATATTTTTCCTATAACGGTCAAATTTTTGAACAAACGTCGGGAACAGCAGTGGGCTCTCCACTATCACCAGTCATCGCGAATATATTTGAGAAGAAAGCTCTTTCATCTAAAACCAAAATTATGGAAACGCTACCTCGATGATACTTTTGTTATTTGGCCTCATGATCAAGAAACCCTAGTAGATTTTCTTAGACATTTAAACTCTATATACCCTAACATACGTTTTACCATTGAGGTGGAAACTAATAATAATCTTCCATTCTTAGATATTCTTATCTAATCTATATCTATCTATACCTAACATTGCGTCATTATGTTTACAGAAAACCTACGCACACAGACCGATACCATAATGCTTGCATCACCATTCGGCTCCAAAAAATCATCGGTTATCAACTCTTTTGTTTACAGAGCCGTAAAACTATCTCAGCCCGAGTCACTGAACGCGGAATTAAAACACCTCTGCTCTTCTCTCTAATACACATTAAAGATATTAAGCATTTCATCAAAAAATACACTTCACCACAACCTTCAAATAGCAATGATGCCGAAAGCAATCCTATACTTGCCACTGTGGTCTTTCCTTGCATTCAAAACATCACTCACCACATATCAAAAGTTCTAAAGAAGTATAACGTGAAAACCAGATTTACCACTTGTCCAAAAATCTCTCAACATCTTCAGTCCGTCAAAGACAAAATTCCATTTGAGATGCCAGGAGTTTACAGCGTTCCATGCATATGCGGCAAAGAATACACTGGAGAGACTGGACGAAAAATATCAACTAGTCTCAAAGAACACGAAAGAGCGTTACGACTAAAACAAATAAACTCATCAGCTGTTGCCGAACACGCTCATGAAAGCGGACATAAAATTTTATTCGACAACTAAAATTCTTCCATGTAATCAGTTTTTCTACCAACGAAAAATCCGAGAGTCTATAGAAATCCAATAAACAACCTAACAATCTTAACCGCGACTTAGGTCTCTACCTGTCATCAATATGGGAATCAACCATCCGGGACGGTGTTTATGTCCCTTATTTAGCTCCACCCCCCTCAAACAATATATAAGCAGGTACAGAGTAAAATACGAGCCAGTTTCAGTCAAGCTCTGAAGAAGCCAACAGGATGATCGGCGAAACGTCAGCAATTCGACTCAGCAAAAACCGACGCAGGAGGAATCCAGAAGTTTTGTAAAAAGTATTACGGTAGCCTGTGGAAGTTTCTTTAAAAAAAATTAATTACTACCTACTTTTAAAAGTTAGTGCACTAAACGGGTACCAATGCTACGTTGGAAACATTCATTTTACACTTGCAAGTACCGCACGGGCTGCATAGGAAACTTCATATTCCTCACCCCTGAAACTGAGGTTTATGACCCGTCGATTCAAACTGTTTGATCTAACCGCAACAATGTGACAACGACGAAGTGGCTCTTCTTTTCTTATTAATGTGCAGTGGTATGCGCGTGTAATTTAATTTAGATAAGCGGTTACGTTTTCCATATTGCGAAATTATATTCGAAGACAACGTAAACTGTTTGTCTCGTTTGTCTAGCGCCCTGATTTATGCCGAAATATGCCTTTTGTCTGGAAGTGGAATTTTTGTTATAAAACTCGTCCCTCTCAGTGGCGTGACAGTTTCGTTTTTCTGAGAGTTATGAAATCGAAAAAAATATGAATTCGTCGTCAACTTTGTTTTTCGCTGACGTTTATGTTTTTATTCTACAGAAAGATCATTTGAGACGTTTCACTCCAACCATTGGAAGCTTTTTTATTATAGGGGGTACCGGGGATCTAGTTCGTCGCTCGTTGGTTATTTTTAAATTTAAAATCGTTTTGAAGGCGCAGTCTAACATTGATTTTGCAGTTTTGATTAGACCGTTCTCTTTTAAAAGAGAGCTTTTGATCAGTTCTCTGATCATTTTCATTAAACAGGTACACTCGATTGGCCAAAGCGCTTTGGGATTTATGATTGTGTGTGATCGCTAATCCGGCACTCAGTTGCGACCTGATGATCTCTTTCGCCTTTTCCGTTATGTCACAAGTCTGACAGATTCGGCCATCAGTTTTGAGTACATCCCACTAGCCCTCCTACTCCACTTATCCCTTCTCATAGGCAAGGTCTGTCATTGATGTTTTGGGCATCATGCCTGATGGAATCCCCAAAATAACCAGAATACGGTACGCAGTATCGGTGATGCCTGCGGTTTCTGCGTAGCCGCTTGAAGAAGTCTGTATATAATAATAATAATGAGGTTAATTATTGGCTAACAGATATAATATCCAACAACAAGACAATGTTTTCTCTAAGCATAGTTGCCAGGTCAACAAAATCAAATAATGAAAATACCGAATGACGAATGTGTACAACGTAGCATAAACCAAGCCAAACAAAAGCAACCATATAAAGAACTTTATATACCGGAACAACAGTAACGGGGCTACTGCTAATTAAAAAGCATACAAATAACTCAGGATCGTCCTAAAAACGTTGAGAGAGAGGGCGCCATAAAAGGTGTAAATAGTTCAAATAATATCTTCTTCGAAACCGTATAAAGGCCCTTTATTATTATTATTATTATAATTGAAATGGCCTTTTTTGGATCTAGCTTTCGCTTATGGATCTAAGCTTCATCATCGCTTTAAAACGAGAAACAATCCTGTGTGATATGTTACAAGCACTTCCTTAAAACGACTTACAACAACGTGCGAAATTTAACCTCTGAGTTGCAGTAGGTTATCATATAAAATAAACTTGCAATTTAAATTGGACTTATTGATATCATACTATGATCACTAAAAACATACTGTGTGCGGGCCCTAAATGGCTGGCCAATAAAACAACATAAAACTTCTAAAATCGAACTAAGGAGTCTTTTACTTGATGAAAATCCATTTATCAAAATAAATAATAATTATATGTTTTGACATGACAATTGTTTCGACAACACCGTGTCTTTATCAAATGTCACATTAGTTCTTATTTATTTTGACTTATAAAATCGTCTAACCAAAACTAACAATCGATATTTTAATGCCAAAGTAAATTGAGCCCGTGTTAAATCATCAGACTTCTAACTAAAAAGTTTGCGGATCCAGTTGGTAGGTAGAATATTGGTGATGTTTTGACTGCCCTCGAAGGAACGTGAAAACCTATCTGCAATAATTCAATTGAACTGATGCATAGTTCCTACGGCTAATTAAAGCCCAAGTATTTGGAATCGCCTTAAGAGAAAATTATGATTAAAGCGTCTCAGTGGAAAGATAACATCACACTTAAAAGCCAGAAATTTCCTTTGAACTTTTTCTAAATGAATAATATATTTATTGAAAATATTCTGCCATGACTCCATACTCCAGCTTAAATCTAACGTAACAGAAGCAGAGCGCATTTAGTGCCTGTTCAGCTGTCAACTGGCTAGCATTTGGAAATATTATTCTTGACATTTTTAACGCACTGTTGCAAGATTCATTGATATGGTTAGCAAACGAAAGGTTAGTTTTAAATGAAACGCCCAAATCTTTGGAGCCATCACTTCGTTTTAATTTTGTATTGCATAAGAAATAATCCAAACCAATACAACAAACCCTATTCGAAAATCTAACAGAAAAACATTTGTCAAAATTCAATTGCACTGTGTTAAGTTTTCACCAGAAGTCAAAAATTTGACGCTCCCTCTGCGGAAGGCATCAGTCATCTTGATTCCGGACAACTTTAAATATTTTCACAACGTCTGCAAATAGTAATAATTTACTCGATACACCATTAATAATCAAAATGGGAAATATGGGAGGGGAAAGCTTATGTTGGACTTATATCCTCGCATATCGACGTATTGAACTCAAGTACATATTGAAGTCAAGTACGAATTAAAGAACGTTACTAGATTTGCATGAAACATCATTTCTACAAGTTTATGGAGAAAAATATTATTGTCAATACTATCGAAAGCTTTCGAGAAGTTAGAAGTTGATCTTCTAATGCTTGAGAGGTACATTGAGCGAAGGACTACTTAGGGTACTATGTTTGTTAAAGATACCATGCTGAACTTCGGCCATTAAAAAAAACAAAGTATCAGGACCACAGGACATTTTATTTTTTGATCTTTTCAATTTTTGAAATACTAAATCATCGTAAAGACTGCTCAAGACTCAAGATTTTGCAGCGAAAACACTACTAAAATCTTCAAGCATGTTAGGTATGAATATAGAGGATTTTTTTAAATTAATAAAAGACCAAAACTCACTTAGTATAGACTTCTCAACTTCAGTTATAGGCTATAGGCAAATTAAATTTGTCTATTAAAATTCAAATGCATTCGTGATACTGAAAGAACGTAGCTCCAGAAGGGTTTCGATGCCAGCTGTAGACTATGTGCGATCTTTTCACTTTCTTGATTCTCTCTAGCGATTTGTCTAGGATAACTCTAAGATATTTCCCTTCGATCAAAGCGCTTATCCCTATTTCTTTGAGTGGTTCCCTTTATTTCAGCATTCTACTTTAAAGTAATAGCGAGTGACCTGTTTAAAATGACTATCGACGAACTAAACCTCCGTTGTATTAAAAGTGATTAGTTTAATATAGAGAGAACCTTATATTTATGAATTCATAATAAAAAGATCTGCATAGCGCAATACACCGGTCTATTTACGTAAAAAGAAGTAAAATGGCATCGTATCTTTCACATTTAAAAAGTTGTATATAGTTTCTATTTTGAGTGAGACACTTTAAATTATGTCCCTGTACTTTAAATTAAGGATTCTCTATTCGTGCTATACTGTAGGAAAATAGAGTATTAATTTAAGAAGTGTCAAAATTTGGTTTAACTCCTCCAAATGTTTCAATAGCGTTTGTTATACCTGATTTTTGTAAAAATGTAACCCAGTTTCTTTGGAAAATAGCGATTACTGACTGACTGTTTTGCAACTGATTCTAATTTTATTGAGAGATTTCTCAGTCTGATTCCTCATTTTGGAACAAATCTGGTTTAATATGATTCAAGTCAGCATCTAGATATGCTCTTCTATCTATCGTTGCACATTTAGATAATATTTTACCTATTCCGAGTTTGATTCAAGCGTTGGTTAGTTTTGACGTGTGCATAAAACTTATTTTTAACCGAAAGCAGCTTCAAGCACTTCAAGACCTACCTTAGGCCCTCAAATGGCAGCGAAGTCTTTTCTGAAAATATTCTGCTAATGTCTATATTACGGATACATTAACCATCCCGGTTTACTGAACAGTGACATTTTTAGATGACAGCCGAAACGTACGCAGCCCCTCACAGTGATATTCTGGTCAATAACACCGGTGGAGGGGGCAGCATAGGAAGCGGTAGCGGCTCAATTCCACCATCGGGGCCCACTTTGTCCGCCCATCATGAATTGCAGCTCATGCGTGAACAACTTGAACAACAGAATCAGCAGACGCAAGCTGCGATCGCCCAGCTGCAGCTCGCTCAGGAACAATTAGCAGCCGAACAGGTAAAGAAAATGTTTCGGAATTGATTCGATCACAGAAAAAGCAATGTTCTTCTTAGAGTGCGAGAATGGAAGCACAAGCTCGTACCCATCAATTGTTGGTGCACAATAGAGAGCTGCTGGACCATATAGCTGCGTTGGTGGCGCATCTTCAGGGAGGGGACAAGATGGGTCAGCAGGTCACTCCTCCGCACATGACGATGCCTCAAGTAAGTTATATAAAATGTTGTTGCAGCATTGCATGGCGAGTTAATGTTTACTTGCTTCGTTGTTTTCAATTTCAGTGGCCTTTAGCTGCAATTTTGTACTTGGTGGCGAATTAAGACGGACACGAATCTGTCTCTATTCTAGTCCTATCTCGAAAAGTAATTGCCGTGAAGACTTTTGGTGAAAAAACTTATTACTAAATAATACGTGGATTTTAAAAAGATCGAATTTCTGTGGGGAGATTAAAAATATTCAATCATATTGAACGAGTATGGGTTATTATTGATATATTAAATATATTTTTTGTATTTTTATAGTAAATTTATATATAATTTGATAAAAAAATAAAAAATACTATTTAATAAAGGCAGCTTTACTGAAAATATTCTCAAAGGTGCGACATTATCTCGAGTTTTTACTTCTTTTACTGACATTATTGATTAGCAAATATAGATCGAAATGTGGTTGTCTTTAGCTATCTTTTTTTATTCTAAAAATGATATCGCATTTATTTTTTTTGAGAAAATATTTTTTTATTGATGTCGCAAAAATTTAAATCAATCTGCTTAGGTCAGCGTCAATAGCCTAAAAAGAGCAATTTTCAGCAACTCCAAGACATTTATTTCCGAAAATGTTCAAACATACTCACCACTTTCCCTTAAGAGATAGAGCAAACCTTTAACGAAAAAGAATCGAATGTATCCGCACTTTGCAACGGTGTCTATTTTAGCTACCTGTACTGACTTAAGAATGTGATTATGCCCCCTAGGGAAACTTTACAATTTCTTTTTGGGACAATGCCAAGTGTCCTTAATTGGGCACCCTGTACAATATGCACCCAATGTTTCTCTAATTAATCCCACATAATGCTACCTACCATCATGGGCATTGCCATAATTTTTATTTATTTTTTATTTTAAATTGCTTAAAATAATCGGTAGAGCGAGCAAATCCATATCGACACTTGAAGCCGTAAAGGAGTTCTAGACTTCATTGGATACGTCCATCTGTGCAATTTCCCATTTTTCCGAACAATTTGAAACGGCTCACGGTAGGCAAGCTTCAAAAGTTCAAAAAATAAAAAATAAATATTTTGCCATGAGCAATTTATTAATTAGGCAAGATCAATTACCCCTTGAAATTTTACAAAATATCAGTTTGCAATTGTCACATTCAGCGTTAGGGATTGATACAGACTATCATTTTTAGGTAAATTAATAGGTTAATTTTGTTGCAAGCATAGTGACATTTGGTAGTGCAATTTACTTAGGGAACGGTAAGTTTACTGGTTCCGATAATTATTTATTTATTTTCAAGTAAAAAAACTCATAGATTGGAAATCTAAACGGCATGCAAAGCATAGCCTCCGATCTGGTACCATCCGCTATTTTAAAATTTATTTTAGGTAATCTGAGTGGAGTCTCTTAGTTTCTAGAGACTCCATATTAAAGCGAATTAGGACAGCATAGTAATTAGTATGCCCTCTAAAAGGAGACCGTTCTTGACGTGGATACTCGACTAATGATGAAAAAAGGCACACAGTAAATTATTTTAAATACAGTTGACATAAATCTGCTCTAATTCTAGAAATGAAACTTAAGCACGTGCAGTAAATCATTCAAGTTTGACAAATGAAAAATGTCATCTATATGCGACTGAAGACTCTATCAATAATTTTATTAGTAAAAATGCCTTAAAATCATCCGCAAATCCTAGCATTTAAGCAAATACAGGGTGCGGCAAAATGATAGGTACTATTTGGGATGTTAATAAAAAGCAAACTACATAGACCAAACATTATGCCATTTAGGAACGTTATTTTTTAAAAATGATGTCTTTTAAATGACGGTCATTATTGTCGATGCACTCTTGTAGGTTCTCGCGGAAGCGCATCATTACCCGAGGGATCATTTCTTGGGGAATTGAGACAATTTCTCGCTGTCTTTAATTCTTCCAAAGTCCGCGGACGATGTGTGAAAACTCTCGCTTTCAGGTAACCCCAAAGAAAAAAGTCGCAAGGCGACAAATCAGGCAAACGTGGCGACCAGCCAAGATCACCCCGTAAAAACACCACTTTGTTTAGGAACATTTCTTGAAGAAGATTTAGTGAACGACGCGTTGTGTGCGATGTATCACCATCCTGCTGGAACCAAAGATGTTCTCTTTGATCGTTGTTCAACTCGTTCACTTTTGGACACAGGAAATTAAGCATCGTTCTCTGTTGACTGTTATCGTCATTCCATCTTCTTCGAAAAAGTAAGGACCCCACACGCCGAACTCCGAGATTGCACACCAGACGGTGACTTTTGGACTGTGAAGAGGTCATGAAATTCCTGTGGACTATTTGCTGACCAATTACGGAAATTTTGTTTATTTTCGGTACCCGAGAGGTGAAAGTCAGCTTCATGGCTAGACATGAATACAGCGCCTCTGGGAATGTTTTGAAGAATATCCCGTCATAAATTTGTACGGGTTTCAAAATCTCTTGCGCTTAATTCCTGCACTACCATCATTTTGTACGGATGCATTTGGAGTGAGTTGTGTAAAATTTTTCGAACACTTCTATCGGGAATTCCCAAAGCAGCTGCATACCTACGAGCTGAACGCCTTGGAGACTGTTGTATGGAAACTCTTACTGCATTCACTTTTTCCGGTGTTCTTACTGTCCTTGGTCGGCCAGTAGATTTTCGGTTAAGTACAGAACCTGTTTCCCTGAAGTGTAAACCCACCGACGAATTTTTATTCCATCCGGGACTGCGCCATGCCGACCGACATCAAACTGATTACGAAAGGCTCGCTGCGTCGCTATTACAAATTCCCCATTTCTAATAAACTCCTCGACAACGAAAGCACGATGTACTCCGCTCCAAGCCATGTCGATAACTGAAAACTGCATACTTTTGTCTGCCTTACGCTAGTGCGTACACAGTGTTACCGGTTTTAAAAATCGAACAACCACTATTTGAAATCCTGCCTACCTTTTTGCCGCACCCTGTATAACAAACTTATTTATATTAAAGATGAACAAATCGACCTACAGTTGATCGCTGCATTATACCAGATACGACTGATTGATTTTAATTTTTTGTTTACATTTAGTTAGGGAGCTCTGGGTCCACTTTACAATTTGCTCACCAAAACCGAAAGGCTTTGCTATTAGTGACTCTCTCGAACGCCTTTGACAAGCCTGCATAAATACTATCAACCGGAAGAATATTTGCAAAGGCATTCAACAGATTCTCCTGAAAAGTAAGGAGATTTTTTACTGTAGATCGCCCGGAAATAAACCGTCGTCATTCATAACTTGTCTACACTCCCAAGATAAAACAGATGCAAATAAGAAATCCAAGAGCTTAGGTATCCCTGAGTGTATACAGACCTGATATAAAGATTGATGTAGTATCATTCCAGAAATCTGGAAATGTTGCAGTATCTAACGAAAGATTGCACAGAAAATGTAGTGGTTTCGTAAGTGTAAATACATACTTTCAAATAAAATGAAATAAAGCCATGAGGCGTTTGATGCATCAATTCTGCCGCTGTGTTCCTGGTACTTGTCACCGATTGCCATTTAATAATATTTATTAGTGCAACAACTTCTAATCCGGGTGTTAGGACTTCGTGGTGTCCGACTGTATCAAAACTCCTTTGGCAAACAAGCCTGAACGAGAAATTTTCAAGGAATTTCCGTTTGTACGCCCGTACATGCCATTTCTGCATCATTGTTCGCCATTATTGAATTAAAACACTTATTATTGAACAATTTTGTATTGAAACTCAGCAATGTGCAGCCAATTAGATTTTTTTTAACTAATAATTCAAAAGAAGTAGACTACGGACGGACTGGGATCAGTATAATTTTTTTAGAAGCTTTAGTATGAATTAGGTTCACAGAGAAAAAAAAAAGTATTTTAATAGCTTGTGTGCAGAAAATAATCGTTGCAAACTATGGTCAGCTCTCAGAAATTTTAACATTTGTTGCCAGAGAAATATTACAAAACCAGCAATACTCTCTGATCCGATTACATATTTTCAGAATATTTCAAACTGTGACCAGCAGGTTAATTAATGACATCCTTTAGGATGGCCGAAGTGTCTGAGATAAATTAAATTTTAAATTCAATGATATCCAATGGAACCGGGGTCGGCGAAGTTTCACCACTAGTATTACAATATTGTAGTCCTTTCATAGATAAATATATAACGCATATTATAAACTGCTGCTTGGAAAAGAGTGTCTCTCCTGATCTATGGAAAATATCAATAAGACAACCACTGGGAAAAATAAGAAATCCGAACCATCTCAATGATCTAAGAAACAATCAGTATTCTATTTATTATTTATTCTATTTATGAAAACTTTGTATGCTCAAATGTATGATTATTTTATTTATTAATATTTTATATAATTCAGGAAGCATTTTGGTACTTCGGTTGCATTAACTAAAAGATGACCAGCATATTGGTACTCTTAGATTTTTCAAAGACATTTGACACCATTAATCACAGTTTGCTTATAAATAAGTTTAAGTTTAATAATTTCTCATCAGCATCTAGCAAACAGGTTTCAAAGAAATATTCTCTAGTAATACATATTTCGATCAGGTTGCTTTGCTCTCTGGAGTCCCAGGAGGCTCCTTTTTAGGGACATGCTCTTTTTGGTTTATACTGCTGAGATTTTGAGCTCCGTTAGGTGCAGTAGAGTACAAGCATTTGCCGATGACATGCATCTGTATTGTTGTTTTGACTATGTTGAGGCGTGTGGACTTTCCAATGGCCACAACCTCAAATGAAACCCTACGAAATCATGCGCCATATTTTTTTGAAGTAAAAAAAAAATTATGCCTTTAGTCGGTAGGCTTAATATTAAAGTTAATGACACTAAATTAAAATTTGTAACTGCTGCAAATAATCTGGGGGTTGTATTGGATACTCAGCTTCGGTTTAAGGAACATTTAAAATATATTTTCAAAAGCACCTACTGCTCACTAAAGATGCTTTA